TGGTAGAACTCCTAAGGTTGAACACTAATACCAGGATTTTATTGGTGTTAGCGTTGAACAGGAAACAAAGCTCAGGCCAGACTATGTGCGGCTTTAGGTTTGTTTCTGAAATATGGTACTTGACCATTTTGTCGTTCCGTGTGAGCGATGAAGGGGTTAATGTGCTGTATAAACATTACAATTTTTGTTTTTATTTTTTTATAATGTGGCATTGAAGAATACATACAACCCTAAATTTTTACTTTTTTATCACCAACTTTTTTTTTTTATAGCCATTTTAGTAATTTAATCATTATCATTCTGCTCAATTATTATTATCAATTATAGTGTTTTTAACTGTACTTCGATTAAAATTTCCCTTAGCTTATGGCAAATCTAACATTTTTTTATGATGTAACTCTCATATTAACTATTAATTATTACTATTTTATTCATAATAATAAAATGATTGATTTGAAATGTATTTGGCACGATTAGTTCAGTTAGTCAAGTTTTAGTTAAACAAGTGATTCACATAACCTTAAAAGTACTCAACACGTGTCACGACCTCCAACCAACAACGGCTTCTGTGTTGTAAGTATACTTTTTTTATATAATTATTTGATATAATTATGACAAAATAATTTTTTAGTAAAATTCAATTTGTACCACCTGGGTTGTGTTGCGCTTCAGGAAAAGTGCAACTGTTTGAAATTGAAACACCACCTGAACCATTGAACGGTATACTTATCGGCACGGATCCAGATTCTAACGTATTCCTGAAGTCAATTCGAACATTCAATTCCTGCTTTCAAATGACATCGTTTGGAGAAATAGTTCCAAATACTAATGCTAATGGTCAACAATACAATTCTACATTCAAAATCAGAGGCAAAGTTTATCATAAAATAGGCTTATTGCTGCCAATGCCAAACGAACCACATAAATTTTTACAAATCTACTTCATGGGCGGCGAGGATTCCGGAAGCGCACTTGCCAATCGCGTGAATGCACGTTGTGACTATAATAATTTCACGCATATACCACATACTTACACACTTATAATAAGTAAGTTACTTTTTGTCTACACTACAATTTATCTAGAAACTAGAAATAATTTATAAGGCAAAACAACGTTTGCCGGTTATCTAGTTTGTATATAAAAGTTAACTTAAATAAAAAGCAAATCGCTAATAAAGTGCAACTATTATTTATATCTAAAAAGTGTACTTTAAGAGCGAACCCAATAACATACAAAAAAAAAATTAATAAATTTTGAATGCGGAGAGTAAAAGCATTCGACTTAAATCGACCAATTATAAACAACGAAATGGAGCAATTGCAGCAAAGACTTCTGGAAATGGAAGAAGTTATAAAGAGGCAAGAAGCTAAAATTCTACTCCACGAACAAGTACAACAGCAAGTTCAACAAGTACAATACCAACAAATACAACAGCAAGTTCAGTAAGTATAACAACAGCAAATACAGCAAAATATGCAGCAATATCAAGGGCTTCTAGCACCAAAAGATATTTTGACGCAATACCGCCAAATAAAATGCCTCAACAAGGATCATGATGCCATTGCCTTTATAGCATCAGCAGAAGCAGTCATGGAACTATGCCCACCAGACAACCATCAATTAATGAAGCTAGCAATGACCATTATAATCAACGAAAAGATAACAGGTGATGCTGGCAACTATATTCGGGGACTTGGACCAAATACAACCTGGGACCAAGTTAAAATGAAGCTAATGGACTGTTACCGACCGAGGGCAACATATAGCGATATTTACAATAAATGTCGCAATATTAAAGTAATTCTAACAATGTTAATACTTCTATTGACAATTATGTTCACGAACGAAGCAATATGGGTAAACTATCACCGTTTTACACATAATTAATCCACAAGAAGTTCAAAACATAATTCAAGCTATAGAGTCAAATATAAAATCACTAGATTTAGTGCATAAAGAATTGCTTAGAAGAGAAATAGAAATACTTAAATCAAAAATTAAATCGATTACTCCAGCGGAATATAACAGGTCCAAAAGAGGTTTAATTAATATTTTAGGTACAGCCAAAAATGGTTATATGGAACCATGGATAATGATGATAGGCAAGAAATAAATAAACACCTTAAACACCTTAATAAATGGAAATAACGAAATGTTAATTCACAACATTAATAAGCAAATAGTGATCAACAACCACTTCAATGAAAACCTTAACATTCTTAAACGCAGTATAGAGAAAGATAGAGAATACATAGAAACGTTCTTTTGGGGCAGATATAATGATATTACAAAATATTTATTATATTCAGAGCAAATGCTAAAAATCAAGAGCTTAGAGTCTTAAATAAATCAAATAAAGGATAATATTGCCTAAGCTAAAATAATATCTTGCATCCAAGTATTCTTACCAGCGAAGAAATAGAAAGATACAAAATTGACTTTTTTAAATTAAAATTGTTAAAGATAGGCATGATGCATTATGAAAAGTCTAAGCTTATTATTGCCATTAAAATTCCATATGACTATATCACAACTGATATTAGAGCAATTATTCCCATACCCAATAATGAAAACTATGAAATAGTCGAAGAAATACAATATGTAGTAGACATCAACAATGTTAGGTACACTTATAAAGAAAATATGTCATATAAGGATGTAGTTAGAAGTAAAAGCTGTACAATTCATAACTGTATTTTTAAGTTTATCGATAAATATCAATTGGAAATTATAAATGAAGAAACAATAATAATTGAAAATGCAAATAATTGGAAAATTTTACAAAATTGTAATAAAAGGAATTTTACCTTAAATAAAAATAATGTAATTTCATTTAACAATTGTCAAATAAAAATTAACCAAGATGTATTTAGAAATAGAAAAGAAATTATTGAAGAAACATATGTTTATGAGTATGATGTTTATGAGTATGTGAAAATATTACGGAAGTAGAACAAGTAAAATTTAATAAAATTGTACTACAACATTTTGAAAATATTGAAGAAATAAAAAAATTAAAAGTACATAAATATGCATCTTTTTCTGTAAGTTTCATTATCCTAATAATCATTGTTATTATAATAATTCCATTAATTTCAAAACGAAAGAACACTAAAGTAATAACTACAAATAATATTGTAACCGAGCCTCAGGAGAGTCTGGAGTCAAGGGGTGAAGGTGTTACATCATCCCATTTTTTAGTGTCTATTCTAGAGAAATATAAAACCAGATGTTTCAGATGACATCTGATACATAAATTTTGTAAAGCATATTTGAGCAAAATTTCATGTTGTCCGTGAGAACTAATTTTTGATCAAATATGCTATGTCAGCGTTTGCACTATTCGTTGCAATCGTTTAAAATGATTTTATATTTTTATTTTAAGTTAGTCTTAAGATACATCTAATAAAGCGAACATAAAACTGAAGTATTGTTTGTTCTTAATTAAATATAATTCGTGTGTGCATATTGGGTAATCTTTATAAATCGGGATAATTCCAGTGTAAAATAATGTTGTTATCAAAATAAAAAACGAAGTGGATGTTCCTCTGGACACCGGTATTTCAGTCAACAATCATAAATACATTAATGTACAAAACTCAAGTGACGATTATGGATATAGTGGTATACAAATGGATCCTCAGGTTCAGATGACTTACTCTATTGGATCACCTATTACTTCACTTATGTAAAAATATTATAATTACAGGATTATAAGTGGCCTTTGAGATGATAGTCGGGAGCATATTTTCTAATAGCTAATGAATTATTTTTCGTCTAGAAGCCTTCTTCGATTGTTGAAGACTGGGTATACTTTCGGTAGTGCATGGTGTATCCAAAAATAAAGGAAATTTTTTAAATACTCCAAGGTAAGAACGATTTTATACGCTGGCCACAGGTGAAAGATTATAAAATTTTATCTAGTCAATTACATCGAAAAACGGCAAATAGAAAAAAGCTTATTATTCCACAGGCGGTTCGCTGCCTACATTAAATTATTACTATATAAACAAATCTTAAAACCAATATGGACATATGGTATACAACTGTTGGGAATTGCTGTAATTGAACTATTTCAAAATAAAGTATTGCGAAGTATAGTATAGTAAATGCACCATTCTACACTCGAAATTGTGATCTTCATCGTGATTTGTTATAAAGAGTCATAAAGAGCGATTGACACATCATATCAATTTTGACGCTTGCGTTCTTCTACAAATGCCTGCTCTGCATCAACAACAATGCTAGACTTCATGTCTTTATAGCAAGCTTAACATATATTAATATACATATTTACATATTTGTATATACATTTATAGTATAAGTTGCTCGTATTCTTTTTTAAATTACATTAATTTAAATATACTTGTTGCATTAAATAAAGGATTCTGTCTAGCATTAAAATACGTAAACCGCAAAATTTTAAATCGTCCTTACAGATAATTTAGTTCTGAACGCTTTCGTCTTATTACACTCTTTGTAGTCGACTGTATTTGGATTTACTTAGATCTCTTCAAAATATTTAGTATATTATGTATTATGTATTGTATCGGATGTGAATATTATATTGTACTTATTTAAATCTGAAGATAATCACCAACGAAAACCATTTAATATAATTAGTTTTTTAGAATTTAAAAGTATTCTTTCAAGTCATAAAAGAATATTATCATTTGATTAAATTTAATAATAGTTACATTGAAAATAAACCAACAGAAGGAATTTAATAATTTCAATTAAAATAATTTTCTAAATCAACATAATTAAAAACTAAATGTATTTAGGGATCCAAGAAAGTAATGAACATATATCAGGGAACCATTAATTTACAAATTGTAAAAATTCATTAAAATAGTAATATAAAATATATTAAATTAATTTTAGTTTGATTATAACCAAATTTTATGCCACAAAATAACTTGCTTTTAATATAATAATAAAAGTTCTTTTAATAAAAAATTGCGAAAAAATTATTTTTTATGTAAAATTAATATCTGAATTTTATCTGATTAGTTCTTCTTCAATCTTTAACTTTTATTTACTTGTCTAATGATTTTATTATATACTTCAATATTTAAGTGTTTACCTCATAATTGTTGTAGTTGTTGTAAAATTGTGTTGAATGATGTTTAATGTTTTAAAATAGATGGAAAATACATGTTGAGTTAAGCATTTGAAAGGAGCTTTACACAGCCAATGGTGTTTTTTCGTTTCGAACTTATTTGATTCCTGACAAATGTAACTCAATCCTATAAAGGTCTCACCACCCTATAGTTGAATTACTGCTTCTCACTACTTTGCTTAACACTAAACCTTTAAATGATAAGCATAAATTTGACTGCGACACTGGATATCTGTATTGCTGGTCAGAATGATGTTTTATATTTGTAAATCTGAGGTGTTTCTTTGAAGTGTTATAAACTGAAAAGAGATTATTTTATTTTTAAATCGGGAAGTTCATTTACAGGTCCATATTGAAGTATTATTTGTATTATTACTGCTTTCCATTACTTACTATTTGTATTAAGGCAGGAACACATAAATGTTCACATTCAATCGAATTTGAATGAAATAAAAATTAAGCGTTAACATCACAATAAATAATCAAGGCCACAATGTCAACAGAGAAGTTGCATAAGTAAAATTTTTGAAGTTTTAGATATATAAGTCATGACTGACACTTATATTCCTTGCTTTTTGAAACGTTGTCAATTGTTACTCTGATACACTGCTTTCTGTTGAAGTGAGTATAATTGTCTCCTTAGTTAAACTGATAAAATGTTAACAATTTAAAGGGCGAATCTGATTTGGTACATCGAGCATATACGTCTATACTTAGATATTAATTTTCCCTTCATATGTGCAAGCTTACTAATCATATATAGACTTTATGTGATGGCATCCTCCTTCTATGAAGGAAAGAAATAAGGCGCATCCAATCTGATACTGCTCAACACTCGCAATCACATTATCAAATTTTTTTCCAATTCGATTTTAATGTATGCCATTAAAGATATAGTCTGCTTTATTATAGAAATAATAACTTGCTGATTCAAAATGGGCCCGTAACTAATTTAAGTTACTATACAATGAAATATCTCATACTACAGTGATAATCGTTTCTTCTAGGACAGACAAATACAGGCATCTATCGTCATATAGCATCTGCTAAACCTGAAATAAAATTGTATATGTCGAATATATATCAAATACATTTATTTACCTTCAATAATGACTGTTTTCGCTTCAAGTATTACATTTTATCCTGTACTTTTGGTGGCGCGTTGAATTATTTCCCCAACTACTTGCCTCATCATATAAATAACAACGCAATGACAGTATTCAGCCACAACTGAATTTCCAATTAAGGTAATTGCTAATATTCTCTTTAAACACTGCATTATGTCGCAATACACATTGACCATAATGCTCAGCAACAAAATATTTATTGCGTTTTGCATTTTTTAAATAGCAACAAGTTTTACATTAGTTTTTATTAGAGGCTTCTCCCACATCCTAGCAGAACACTTCTCAGCTTAGCAACATCATTTGTTCTGTTAAGAAAACAAAATATTCGAAATATTATAATATAAATGTATACATAAATCTTTTTACTCACTTCGTTAACATAGCGTACACCGCTTTCACTGTCTTTTATTTACTAAGGCACTCACTTGATTTTGGTTAGCAGTTTTATATAAAAATTTAAATTCTGCGAATTTCACGAAAGTGCCGCAAATAGTTTGTAATGGATTTTTTTACATTTGCTTTTGACACTTCGTATAACTATTCACAATGGATTTACAAAACCAGAGAATACCAGATATAGACTTTCAGAAAATAAAGCACTGTTAAAAAACAAGTACGCAGCTTGGTTTCCCTACAAACCAATTTTTTAATATTGGTATATTTTTTTGACAGAATTCAAAAAATTAACATGCATAATAAAAACAAAATTCGCAAAACTAAGCACTTCCACTCTCCTGAAGGTGCTTAATATGACGTTTACATGGCCGCAAATGACTCATTTCAAATCAGTCATTTCAAACTGTTTACATACGTTATATATTTGTTCTCTATTTGTGATGATATACAACAGAAACTTAATGACCTATCTTTAGAGTCCTGCAAAGTCGGACTAAAAATCAATGCACAGAAAACAAAAGAAGTTCGAATAAACAACCGAATTGACGAATCTTTGACGCCAGAAACTGAGACCATTGAGCGCGTAAATAAATTCCAGTATCTAGGGAGTATTGTGTCTGAAAATGGAGGTACAGCGCAAGATGTGATAAGTAGAATAAATAAAGCCCTTGGTGCTTTTACAAGGCTTCGTAAAGTGTGGAGCTCCAATACTTATAGTTTAAGCACAAAGATAAAAATCTTTAAAGCATGCGTTTTTTCAGTTCTCTTGTATGGTTGCGAAACTTGGTTTGTTACAGAAAACATACAAAGCAAGCTGAGAGTATTTGTTAACCGCAGTCTCCGCAGAATTTTGCGTATTTTCTGGCCAAACAGAATATCAAATCAAGACCTTTGGATGAGAACAAATTTTAGAGATGTCAACCTTGAAATTCGTAAAAGAAAATTTGGATGGATCGACCATAAACTTCGAAAGGCTCCCACCGAAATTTGTAAACAGGCGCTGGTATACAACCCGCAAGGTAGTAGAGGGAGAGGCCGTCCAAAAACAACATGCAGAAACTGAACGTTGAATAAAATAAACGCCATTTTGCAGCCTATAGGATGAAAAATAAACAACATTACAGATATAAACGACGTAGCGTTGCGGGGCGAAAGGTGGAAGCGACTTATAGACAGCCTATGCCCAGTATAAGTGGCTGCTCGAAATTATAGACGTCGAGCAAGGCTTACTATTATTATTATTATTTTTAACAGATGTTAATGGTATCCTTTTTTTTAGACGTTTGTGGCCTTAGTTCAGTAGCAGCTTGTAAGGTGATTGGTTAGGGTGATCTTCTAACTTTAAGAGGTACTGACAGCTACATCGAGTAGCTTCTTCTATTACTGTTGGTACGCCAAATCTTTTACGAACATCTTCTATATAATTTGATTGACAAGCTACATGAAGCATATCTTGGCGTAAATATTTCCAAATGCGAGTTCAGTGTCGATGAATTGCAATTCTTAGGTTATCATTTGTCAGCAAGTGGCATGAATCCCCCAGTAGAGCGTGTAGAAGCTATTCAAAATTATATCCGACCTAAGACAGTATATGAAATTCGTCAATTCCTTGGAGTTGTCAATTATTATCGTAAGGAATGTACGAGCAACACAGTTACAAGCACCCCTAATCAGCCTACTGAGAGAATCCAAGAAGAGAGTTTAAACAGAAATAGTCTGGACAGCAGAACTTAACACATCATTTGAAAATTGTAAGGCAGGCATATTAACGTTTACGCAGCTAGTATTCTTATCACCAACAGCACCTCTTCGTCTTTCAACCGATGCGTCCAGCTCTGCAATAGGATTAGTCTGGAGCAGTGAAACAATGACCAGTGGAAACTAGTAGCGTTCTTCTCCGCCAAGCTTAAATCGGCAGAAGTGAATTTCAGCACCTATGACAGAGAACTCCTAGCAGTTTACATATTTATAAAACATTTTAGTTATCGGCTGGAAGGGCGTCATTTCGCCATCTGCACCGACTATAAGCCGGTGCTTATAGTATATTGTATCAGTACAATATATATATACTTTTTCAGTTCTAACTATTCTCTCAGCTTTTGAACTCTTCGAATGACACTTTACACACATACTTTTCGGGAGCCAACCCTGTTCACCATTTGATTTGATTGAAATTGGACGTCTATTTCTTGTAGCTGTGATATAAACTTAACAATTGGATATGAGGTTTCTCCGTTTTTAATAAAGGTATTCAAATGGAATTTGGGGTATACAGTACTGATATTTGCAAAAGACAACGTACAAAATTATTTTCAAATGGGTTTTAATCTAGATATAGCTTCCATATAAACTCTCGATTAAGACACATATTTTTCTTAGAAAAACTTTTTTATTTTATAAATAGGTTTAATATTTTATTTGAAGTACATACATATTATGTACTTTAAATTTAAAATTTACGTATCTTTTAAAAAATGCAATATGAAGTTATTCCAACAAAAACGTTTCGTCCCACTTTTGAGAATTAATTAAAAATAAATACAATGAATACAAAAATTTATAGTGGGGCCCCCTAAATTCGGGGGCCCGAAAGCGTTGCTTCCAATTGCTTCCCTGTAGTTACGCCAATGACCGAGATCATACATGTGTCAAGTGAAGATAACATAATAGCAGACACACTCTCGCGGATCAACTCGATAGCTATACCAGAAACTTGCAGCCGAGAGCGGATAAGCAAGCCCCAGGAAAATGATGAAAAGCTTAAACAGTTGTTGTCCACAGGCACGAAATTACAACTGAAGAAATTGCAGTTGCAATCGAACTTGGAGACATACTGTGATGTCACCACGGGCCAGTTAAGACCACTTATACCCAAATCATTACGCAAAGAGGTATTCAACTTAGTACATTGTTTGGCAGATATAGGTTCCAAGTCCACAGCGCGACAACTAACGTCAAAATACGTGTGGTCATCAATACGAAAGGACATAAAGACATGGGTTTCAGAGTGTCAAGGTTGTCAGCAATCCAAAGTCAATGGGCACAACAGAATGAAGCCAAGCGAATTTACAAAAACTGAACAGCGATTCGACCATGTCCACTTGGATTTAATTACATTACCGGAGTGTCAGGGTTATAGGTACGCGTTAACCATGATTGACAGGTTTAGCCGATGGCCAGAAGTGACACCCTTAAAAGACATGACCGCAGATACAGTAGCCGTAAATTTCTATGCAACCTGGGTATCCCGGTTTGGTGCGCCGAAAGTAATAACAACAGACCAGGGAACACAATTAGAAGCAGATCTATTTCAAGCTTTGACTGACCGGTTAGAAACCAAACGAATCCGCACTACGCCTTATCATCCAGCAGCGAATGGAATGGTAGAGAGGTTTCATCGAACTCTAAAGGCAACACTAATGGCAAGACCGAAACATACATAGATCCAATTACTCCCATCAGTTCTTTTAGGACTACGAGTATCAGTGAATAAAGACATAGGAGCATCTGCTGCAGAGATGATTTATGGTATCAACCTCCGTCTGCCTGGCGAATTCTTCGAACATAATACTCAATCATCTGCGTCAACGACTTTTAATCAATCAAATTTCCTAAACAAATTTCGCGAATACGCCAGCGGCACATCATAGCAACAGGCCGATTTTCATACACAAAGAACTCAAAAATTGCTCACACGTTTTCCATATACAGGACCGTATAAAGTCTTGAACAAAATCAGTGAAGGAGTGTTCACAATTGAAGTAGGTGACAAAAAGTTGAACGTTTTAATCGAAAGATTAAAGCCAGCATTCCTGGAGAATACAGATGTTCCATCAGAACTGAAGTTCTTAGAAATTTTGTTAAATATTCCTAGGTCAAAGCATAACACACCACGAGCAAAAGGTTCAAAGAAAAAAGTCACGTTCGCCAAAGAAGACCCGTTTGAACAGCAGTCCAATGCAGTCAGACACCATAAAAGAAGATCACATTCATACATAGCCTTCATCACAGTCCTTCGGCTATCTTCTAAGAGGGGAGTACTGTGGCGGATATGGCAACCACAAATAGTTTAAAACACACGTTTAAAAACAAAAGCATGATGGCAACATTGTGGCATCACAACCTAAGGATGATATAAAAACAGAACGCAATCAAGCATCGCTCTTTTTTTTGCATCCGAACCGGTAACGATTCGTTATAGTGGAATTAGCAACCCATAGATAGGAACAAAATAAACAAAAGTGGCGAACTTAGAAACAAAATGAAAAAATCAAATTCAGTTATATTTTGAAGTTAAGCAAATTTAAGAAATGTGTTCAGTTGCTCGCGAAACCTTGATGAGGGCGGGTGCGTTGCAATAATGTGCGGAATATGTTTATTACAACTAAAGTTGATGAAAAAAATAAGAACTCTGGTATGATTGAGGTTTAATATGTTAATGAATTTGTTCTCTAACTTATATTTTTACATTTAATTATTTTATTGATATTGTTGAATATTGATTGTATCTCCATATAGCGAAAGTAATCAGCAGAAAATATTGCAATGAATTTATTTTATTAATACGATTTTTACAATAGGTAATTGTATTTTATAATAATTAATATTAATTATTTTATAATATCAGTAATCAATAACACCTCATATGTTGATCAATAATCAGTAGAAAGTATTTAATTTATAATAAATATTGAAGAGAAATACTTATTTAATAATAATAAGTAATACTAAAAATGCGATTTTAAAATATATAATACAAAAATATTAAGATAAGCTATATAATAGATATTAGTCATATATAAAAATATTTCACTAAAAATGTCTTTATTTATTTTACTTTAAAAGTAGTTTCGTACAAAAAATATATATAGAAATTCCCTACACTTGCGGACTATAGCAACTACCGGTTGCAGCTTCTGCAGTTTACAGTTGATTCTTTCCCTTATAATACAATTAAAATGATAGAAAGTAAAAATGTTTTGCATATATAAATGGAAATAGTGTTTTTTTATTTTCAATTTAAACATATGAAAGATAATGTCATTAACAATTTGTCTTCAATTTTAATTAAAATAATTTCGTTATTATTTTACGTGCACATTTTGAAAATATTTTGGTTACATGTTCAAATGTAAACAAAATCAGCTGCTTGCTTACCGTCTAACACCGCCATAATTTAAAGCGAAATTTTCTTTTCGTTTCTCTTTTATTTCTTACTTTACCTACCGTCGAAGGGCCATGTTATGCAGATTGTCTCGAGTACGGCCTGAGTACAATTGTTGTTGTTTTCAATGCAATTTTTAAATTTGAGAATGACAAAAAATACAATATAGCCGTTCAAACTCCGTTATGAAAGCCGGCGTATTTGAGCATATCTAAATTTCGTTTTAAATTTCGGCACAACCTAGAAGTACCAAAATATTGTAAAAATACAAAATTGGCAATACTGATATAACAGTCTGCATAACGCATAACATGCATTTTTGGCAAAGCCCGAAAGAGCGAATATTACCGTGCTCAAGACACCTTGCATAACATGGCCCTAACTGGGTCTTAACTGTTTTCTGCCATACTTGTGTGTCAACGATAACGCCTAATGTTTTTATTTACTCTTGTGTTAAATTGCCATTCTAGTGGGTTATTCTTTGGTTATTTTGTGTTGTATTGTGAATGTGCAAATGGGAAATGTCAGAACAGAAATCAAATAAGAATATTTTGCGCAATTTGTACTCAGTATGATTTTAATTTGATTTGTCGTATTACATGTGTGAACTGTAAAAAAATAAAATTGATGTCAACCAAGAAAGTTTAATAATATGTGTGATGTTAATTTCACATTGTCAGACTCGTGCGGTTCTTCCGAAATTCCGTTACGACAATGAAGCGGTAACCCGCCATTTCAAACGGTAAAATTTGTGACTGAAATGCTAAACATGTTTTGTCGTGCAAAACTATGCAGAGTTAATAAAAAATGCATTGAATTTACATTTTAAAAAAGATTTGTTTTATAAAAAACGCATGGCTGTGTGAGGATCCACTCTAATTTTGCTAAGATTTGCTTTGTTTTTATTTTCGATTGTTAATACTGGTAAATTTTAAAATTATTTATTAATTTTACTATATATTTAAATAATTTTGATATTTCATTATTTATTGTTTTTAGATTTCAGTTTTCTGTGACAGAAGTAACCTGTAGTTGGAACGTAAAGATAAACTACTCTTTGGAGTGCTATTATGCTTTAGAAGGGCATATATGATATATGAATATGATATGATATGAGAATGATATGAATATTGTATTGTATTTGGATAATCATTTTGGATTGACTGGTAACACGTGACATGAGATTTATTGTGTTATTGATAAGTAAATAAGCTAACCAAGCTTAGTAAATAAAAATCAGTTTTATATTTGAAAAGCGAAACTTGGCGTTGTGACAGCTAATGATCAGATTTGGGAACATAAGGTGAGGTTAAGCACATAAGAAATATAACATTCAACCCCAATAATAACACGTGCGGTATATACAAGTACCAACAATTCCCAAAAAAGACGACCACACTTAAATATCACGTTAACTGAATTTAAATAAAGTTCCACTATTCTGTGTTCAGATGTGACTGTTATCCCTAGCAATAATGTTCATTATAGATGTTATAATTCACATTTGTTTATTGAGGTTTTTTCTGAGATTGTGTTAGCAAATAACAATTAAACTTTATAAACCAATCACTTGCCTTATTTTACTCTAACTATAACCAATGCACACCATGCGTTTCATCTGAACGGTGTTTTGTATGCCATGATTGGTTCACTTTTGTAAAGTATCATTTTAATTGAGATGAAACTGATGCACATGTCAAAGAGAGTTACTGTTAATAGAATGCAGATGAAGAATAATTTGAGAAGGGCTTATCATCAACAGTTTTTCATTCATGGTAAGATATATTACTTTAATAATTAAATGCCAATCTTTATACTTTTTTTGTTTAAGAATGTGATGTAGTATGGAATGAGGAGATTTATTAATTATGTTGTAAAAGTCGCTTGCATCAAATATTTATAAATTGTACTTAAATACATACAACACAAATCGGATTTGAACTAACTAAACGTTCCTGCAAATAAAAGTGATAAAGTGATCAGTTATAACGAATCAGAGATTAACTTTCAACTTGAATTTGGAATGGAGTGAAGTAACACATCAATAGCATCTAATAACACCTATCAAGTATCGTGATAACAACTTGAATCAAATTTGTGTTCATCAGTTAAAACTTCATTACTTCATGTAGTAGGAATACACACATAATTGGCATAATTGGAATGTGTATTGTAATATAATGCAATATTTAAGCATAATATTCGCAAAGTCTTTAGAAATTCAGTTGTAGCCAAATACTATCACTGTGTTGTTATTCACAACCCCATTGGGCAAAATGTTGGCGGAAAAATTGATCGCGTCATCAAAGCAACAAGACCAAATTTAATTCTTGAAGTAAAATCGTCATTTTAGAAGGTATATATAATTATTTAAAGTATGTTTAACATATACAATTTATTTTTCAAGTTTAGAAGATTGCAAATGACTAGATGCCAGTAGTTGTCTCTTCCAAAAGAAACGCTTAAATTTAAGCGCATCACTGTAATTTCAGATATTTCATGGTACAGTAACTTTAATTAGTTAAAACCAACTACTTTGAATCCGAAAACAACATTTGTATAATGATATATCTTTATATGCCTGAATCTTTATATATCTTTAATGCGAGTATTTGATTTGGAAAAATAAATCATCAGATAATATGTGATGAGTGGGAAGTAGTATCAGATTTCATAAACGTTATGTTCCTTTTCCGTTAATACAATAGTTATTGCACACAATTTCTCTTTGGTTGTATGCTTGCTCATATATGACAAAGAATAGTAATTGTCGATTGAACAATATGCCAAAAGTATAGTGTGATATACGCTCGATATATCATATGTCTGCTTTTTGCAATTATTAATACGTGATCAGTAAAACTGTGGAGACTTTGATACACATGTGAAAAGTAATTAGTATGAAGGAACATTGTGACACCTGTGCTCAGAAAATAATCAACGCGTAACTTGAAGTTTGGTTATGAAAATTATTTATTGGTTTACTCTGTTCATTGTAAGATGTATTAGTTACATGTATATATGATTTTAACTATTGATTTATTTTAGACTTTGAAGTTGTTGGAATTATGGAATAAAAGTGCCAGTAACGAGTTGCTATTTCGGGTAGTTTATGCACTACTTCTCCACCATTTACATTGCAGTTCTAATTATTTATTGTGGGAATATCTCTTAATTTTTAATTTTTCTCAAAATTTTTGAATGTGAATATATATGTATTTCTGCACTAATACAAACAGTAAGGAATGGAAACCGGTAACAACTACTTCATAACTAATGACAAAGTGGTCAGTACATAAAACTTAAATTAATGTAAGTTAACTTCTCGATTTAAAAACCAAATATTTTCTTTTCAGATTTTAATAGTCCAAACAAACACTTTAAATTTATAAATATCAAACATCATTCTGACCAACAATACAGATATCAAGTGTTGCAGGAATAGCTTCAATCAAATTTATGCTAATTATTGAAAGCTTTATAAATAAGCAAATGTAGCAAGATCCAGTAATTCAAGTTAACATTATGTAGTGAGCAGTTCACAGGATTGAGTTACATTTGTCAGGAATCGAATACGTTTGAAAGGATGAAACATCATTGCCTATCGGAAGTACCTTTAAAATCTCCTCATATTAATTTAAATGCTTAAGTATTCAACATGTTTTTCATCTATTCTAAAACATCAAATAACGTTCCGCATAAATAAGCAACAATTCGCATTATAAGGTAAACGATTTCTAAATTATTATATATTAAACTATATAATGCATAAAATAATTAGATAAGTAAATGAATACAATTCAAAATATAATCAGATAAAAATCAGATATTAATTTCAGTTATTTAATTATTTAGTATAGTACTTTTAATTAAATTAATTCTTATTAATATATTAAGAGCAATTAACTCATTTTGTGGCACAAATTTATTTATAATCAAACTAAAATTAATTTGATATTTTTAATATTACTATATTTACGAATTTTTAAAATTTGTAAATAAAGGGTTTCCTGATATATGTTTATTCCTTTTTAGGATTCATAAATACATTTAATTTCTTAATATGCTGATATAGAAAAATATTTCAATATTTAAATTTAAAGTATTAAATTCTTACTATTGGTTTTTTACTATTGCTATTATTAAATGTTTAGTTATGAACACGTTGCACTTACATTAAATAGAACTAATGAATTACCCGAAAAGAAAAGAAGTTTATTGAAAATTAGATTAAAATAGTTTTGATGTTTTTAATCATGGTCTGAACACCGCAAACTTTACTTTTTTACATTTTTTAGTTATTTCAGTTTTCTTATGGCTCAATAAAGATGAGCTGACAATAGCAGGTATATGAAATTAACACTCGGCTTAAGGATTTCATAATACACAATATCGCACTATTCCTATTAGACACAAAGCATGGTCTTCTTGCCGACGCGATTTGGTGTTGGTGTTGAAGGACCGGCTTCGCTAACTGAAAGCCACGACTTTTTCAGCATCGGGTGATCTAGTTTTCATCACCTATTACAATTCGATATAAAAATGTTTTATTTTCCTTCGTGGCGTTGAACAAACATTTTACAAGTGACTGCGGTTTTCCAGTTTTTGAACCAGGGCAATTGCTTTCTGGCAACGCTACGAAAGTTTTTCTGTTATCTTTATATTATATTTTTCATATCTTTATATTAGTGAAAAATTTCCGGTTTTGTTAAATTCATCAAAGTATTTTGACATTTGTTAGTTTGTCTGCCCAAAGTATTTAAAGGCCTTTGGGATAGATTCACATTTCGAACTATTTTAATTTGTGTATATTACTAGTTTTAATAGTTCATATCTCTATAGCTCAGGTCGTACCCATAACCGAAATTAGGGGTATGGGAGTGGCTGGTAAGCTGGTACCACATTATTATAACTTCTTAAAAGGCGAATTTTACACATTATTATTAAGCAATACTTGAATTTTATTCGAAACAATTATAAAATCTTGAAGTCTGGGGGGTGGAGGGGTGTAGTGCGTCCTCCTCTGTCCCTACCTGTGTAAGTAATTTCTACCTCTGTTGTCTTTCACAATCATTACTTTTGATTTATCGTAGTTAATTTGTAGGCTCCATGTTTGACAATACTGTTGCAGTGCGTTTATCATCTTCTGAAGTGTTTGAGCATCTTCTGCAAGTAATACCATGTCGTCCGCATACATTAATACTTTAAAACATTGTGAACCTAAACAAACTCTACCAGGCAAAATACACGATATGTCATCTACATACAGCGCAAAAAGTAGTGGACTTAGAAGACAACCCTGTTTGACATCACGATTTGACTCAAACCAGTCCGATAGATATTTACTATCCCAAACCGCAGTTGCGTTTTTGATATATAAGCTTTGAATTACACTTAACATTTTCATTGAGATGCCAATATTACTTACTTTCAGAAAGAGGCTACGCCTATCAATGGTGTCAAAAGCCGCCTTGAAATCTACTAAAAACATATATAATTTGCGTTTACTTTGAAGGAACTCTTTTGCAATTGAGGTCAGCACAAAAATACTGTCTAAGGTAGAGTATGATTTCTTAAAACCTGCCTTATAATCGCTCAGTAGGTGATATGTTTCCACCCAGTTGGTTAGTCGGGTAAGAAGAATAGAGGTGAATATTTTTGTGATCACATTAAGAAAAGAGATACCTCTGTAATTAGATAGGTCGCCGACATCGCCTTTTTTAAATAGGGGAAATATAATGTTTTTTTTGAAACTATCAGGAACGTTCTCTGATTCAAAGATACTATTATAGGCAGTTGTCAAATAATTTACGAATTTCGTTGACGAATTTTTTAGAAATTCTGCCGGTACTCTGTCCATACCTGGTGCTTTCCTGTCTTTACTTTGCTTTATCGCGGCCATTACTTCTACTGTGCTTATTTCATGATCCAGTTCTTGTACTGTCGAGTAGAGCAACGCGAAATTATGTTGTACTGCCGACACTTCTTCATATAGTAATCCTTTATATTAGCTAGCCAGTATACTAATATCCACCTTAATAGGTTTGTATGATTTGGATCCATTTAGCGTTCTGACTAGAGCCCAAACGTCTTTACTGTCCGTAACTTCATTTACAGCTACCTCTAGTTGCATAAAGTATTCCTGGTGTTTCTGTTTACATATCTCTTTGAAAGCTTTATTTGCTGCATGATAATTTATTTTGGAGACATCTGATGATGTTTTCCTTATCAGCGTTAGAAATTTCATATATTTTTTACGTGCTACACGTGTGTTGTATAATATGTATTAGTAAAATTATAACACATTACACGACGATGACGACGACTGGCTTCTGATTGGCTGACGCTAGCTGCGTAGTTTAGAAACAGGCGAGGTTTCAGCTAACATCCTTTTAGCCGACGGATTATACGATGTCTTCACGTTTTTTGATGGCGTACGATGCATGGTTGTTAATTGATAAATTTTATTATTTTTTAACTAATTTGTAAATTACCTTAAAACTATGTTACGTTTTTGTTTTGCCAAATAGATTTACGATTATTCCTTATTCGAAATATAAGGCTTGTGTACCAACTATATTAAATTTGTTTTGTTTATTCTATGTTATTTTACATGTATTACATAAACTGTATATATCATAATTTTTACAATTAAATGTTTATTAGTTGTCTCTGTCAACAGTTTGCTTAGCTATTTTTGACTTATTTATATACTAAATTATAGGACTGTCTCTATCAGATTTTTATTACGTTATTAAAAAACAAAAAAAAAATCACTCTTATTTGGCTACTAATATATGATCCACAAGAGAGCGCCTTATTTATTTTATTTAAAAAAAAAAAGAAAGCAAAAACGCGCGCAAAATGAATGCTTTAAGTTGTGAAAACTATTATTTGATTTAATCACTTTATGCATTTGAAATCGTACCGCAACATTTTGTTCTTCACTTCCGTTTACTCGTTTTTTCTTTTAGTTTCCGACGCTGTAAGTTTGATACTTTTTACTTTTTTTTCACTTAAAAAGGAGCGACTGCAAAACACGTCCAACTCGGTATACTTCATTAAATATTCCCCGTGTTGTTAATGTTTACGATATTTTACTTCAAATTGGTAAGTCATCAAATTAATCGCCCACCGTTGTAGACGATGTGAAGTTATTTGCGGCAGATGTTTTCCTGGAAAATTTAGTAACACCAAATATGATTGATTGATTTGGAGTTTATCGAGCGTTTTTGATGCAAAGGCTATTCGTCTCTCAGTGCCATCCATATATAAATGAGAAATTACTGCTGCAATCCCAAATAAAGATACAATCACAGCAAGAATCAATGGTAAATGATCTTGAAAATGGAAAAGTTGTGTTACATTTTCGTTACAAGTTTATAAATCGGTAAATGCTTGTTGTTGTTTTTTTCCTCACGTGAATTCAACATTTTCCCGTCGAAGTAAATTTAACGGTGTCGCTACCTGGAAAAAATCAGGAACAAAATTGTGATAACATATAACCTTACCGAAAAACGCTTCGAGTTGTTTGATATTTTTTGGAAGCATTAATTCTTTGACGGTTTTCAAACCAGACTCATCAGGAAGAATTCCACTAGCACTAATCTCCCGATCAAGATATTGAATTTTGTCTTGTACAATAAAGCACTTTTCCACTTTGCAAATAATACAATTTACTTGCAGAATTTCTAGCACCGCTTTCAAGCACCGAAGGTGTTCTTCAAACGTGAGTGCCGAAATGAAAATATCATCCAGATAATTTCTTACTTCTTGAATCCCCTGTAAAAGTTGCTCCAAGTATTTTTGAAAAATAGAGGACGTACTAGCGTTTCCGAAAGGTAACCGCTGATACTGGAATAATCCCAACGGTGTATTCACGACCAAAATTTGATTAGAGTTTTCATCCAGTGTCATTTGTAAATATACATCTTTTAAATCGACCTTTGAAAAATATTTCCCTCGTGGAATGCCATAAAACAGATTTTCGCGTGTAGGGAACGGATACTGCTCTATATCGATTTGTGAATTGCCTCTGACTTAAGCTGTAGCTTAACTTTGTTAACTTTCAACAGATTGCTCTCAATCATTAACTTGAGAGCAATCTGTTGAATTTTGTAAATAATTTATACTATATAGAAAGATTTATGATAAACATTGTAACTTCAGAATCCAATTGAAATTTTACCATCATGTAAGTCTCTTTGCACTTGTCTTTGCTACAGAAAAAGTCACATTCTCTTGATATTCCCCTTAGTTTAGCAATATACTCACGATGCGTTTCTGTTGTTCTCATTCCTATCTTAAAAAATACGTGGCATCGGCGTCGTCAGTACCACTTCCTAAGATCTCTTGATCAGTGTGTACGAGTTCTTCGCGCTCTTTTGATGGTAAACTGTAGTAATCGCGCTTCTTCCAACCCGTGGCTTTTATTTTCTGAACGCGTTCCGCGGGAGTAATGACAGGTAGTGGTTTATGAGTGTGTTTGTTCAGTTTTCCCCCTGCTGACTTCGGTGATTTCGTAATCTTTCTTTTGACGCCTACTTTATGAACCACACTTCTTAATCTGCTTGTTGACACATTAATTGGTTCAGCTAACAATATACTACGTGGCCTTGATGCATTCAACTCTTCAGTCCGTGTTTTAAATTTAGCAACAGTTGATTCGAATTTTCCCTCCATATCATGCTGGTTACTTTCGGTGAAGATTAACATTAACTATTTGGTTTAATTTACATGTACTCTTTATATATTGAATAT